TTCTGATGGTGACTCCAAAACATATCGTAAGTTACAGAAAAATAATATTTATGGTGACAATTACAGCCCATTTCAAAATTAAGAACACACCCAACATTTTTCAATAACAAAAACATTAACAATTGTAATGTATTTATTATATTAGTATGTTATTTACGACATCAATTTAAACATTTTCTGAAATTTTTAGAGCAATCTTACAATTACAAAAAAAAATTATCACAGATTTTCAATTTTTGATTGTTTCAAAAGTATAAACACATATGCATAAAAAACAATTTGTGATGTTTCAATATTTTGTAGGTCCACCATTTGATTTAATTAGTTCAAATATTCTATCAGGCATACGTTTTACTAGTTTTTGAAGTTGTTCTTGTTTAATATTTTCCCAATAATCCATAATCAATAATAGCTAATTTCAAATAATTTACAGTATTGTATTGTCTGTTTTGGCCATAAACAAGATGACTCATAATGCCCCAAATATTTTCTATCGGGTTCATATCAGGGCTCCGTGATGGCCAATCAATTAAAGTAAATTTTTTTCAGCAAATCAATTTTTAGTTGACTTTGATGTATGAATATCCTGTTGGAATTGCCAGTTTTCTCCCACAATAAGTGGTCCAAAAGTTATTAAATTTTGATACAACAGTTCTTGATACTTTTCTGAATTCATTCTACCTCCTATAAATACAATATCTGTTTTACCTCCCCATCCAAATCCTGCCCACACCATCACAGATCCTCCACCTTGCTGTCTGCTCATTCTGACTTCTTCGTTCTTCCTCAAATCATGCCAGTAGTGACTATAACTGTCAGATCCATCCAAATTCCACTTTTTTTCATCTATTTGTTTCCATTCCTCTTTCCATGTCATCTTGTCTTTGGCCCACTTTAATCTAGCTGTTTTGTGCAATTATGTTAATTTCAGTTTGGCAGTCATTTTGGTAAATTTTGCATTTTTATAATTATGCATACATCTCCATACAGTTGCTGGTGAAACTGCAATTGGCAATGTTGATGCTGCTTCTCTGATAGATAACTTGTTGACTGTCAGTAGTTGAAAAACCTGTCTTTCGTTTCTAGGTGTAATGAGTTTAGGCCTTCCACATTGCTTATTTCTGCCACAATTTTCACCCTGAGTTAACACATTTCTCATAGCACGTGTAGATGGATTTATAGCTGCCAAAATTTGTCTTAGAGATCATCCTAATCCTTTTAGTTGGTAAATTTCACTTATTTCCAACTCTGTTAGTGTTTTTCCACAAGGCATTGCTTTAAATCATAAAAATCATTTAAAATTGGTGCCATGTTTTTAATAATGAATGATACTCCCCTCTGGTGACAACTAATTAAACTAATAAGTAATAAAAAAAATTATACTAATTTTATTCACCTGTGTTTATACTTTTGAAACACTCAAAAATTGAAAATCTCTGATAATTGTTTCTGTAATTGTCAGATTGCTGTAAAAATTTCAGAAAATGTTTAAATTGATGTCGTAAACAACATACTAATATAATAAATACATTACAATTGTTAATGTTTTTGTTATTGAAAAATGTTGGGTGTGTTCTTAATTTTGAAATGGGCTGTAATTGTCACCATAAATATTATTTTTCTGTAACTTACGATATGTTTTGGAGTCACCATCAGAAAGAACAGTCAGATATCAAAGTCCATGTTTTTCTATTGAGTATCCAAATAGTTGTAAGCTGCTACCATTTCCATGGTGCCTGATGATCCACTGTAATTTATTTGATAGTCATGATTTTCAAATTTTTTAGGATTTGATTTTTTTAATCCTTTTAGTTCCCAGCAATTTTTGATATTAATGTAATTAAACATAAAAAATACTTATAACTGAAAAAAAACAAAAGAAATGCATTAATTTTGAAGAAAAACCTTCAAATTTTATTTTCCATTGTCTCGCCTTTCTGTGAAATCTGACCCTGATGAGTTATTGTGTTTACAGCTGGATGACCTTGAGAACAGCTGGTGTTGGATTTTCCAGGACATTCTCGGAAGTCTCGGGAGGTGAAGGGTTTAAATTAGGGTGAATACTAGCTGGCCGTATATTTTTAAAAAATTAAAATTTTTATTGCGATTTTCAACCCCCCCAACTTAATTAAACATATATATAATAAAATATATTATTTAAAAAAATTAAAAAACTATTGTAGGTCGTTTTTGATATCAGAAAGTAGCTTTAAATAACTTTACCAAAGTAAAATTCGTGCACTACAACTTTAGAACGATTAATTAAATTTGATTAAAAAATCCCATTAAAAAACAATTAAGCGTTAATTGTGCGTCATTAAAGGTAAATTAAAATCGCGATAAAATTTTTTCGTGCAGGTAAAATTTTTGAAAACATTTGGAGACTTAAAAAACATTCCTAAAATCCAAAAAAAAAAAATTGGGGGCCGAAAGGACCAAGTTTTCTATAACGCTATGTAACCTGCCCGAGTTAACTTGGGCTAAGAACTGAAAGGGTTAAGCACCAACCATGACAATACTTGCTCATGACAGCAAAATCAAGAACAAGACCTGTCAGAATATCAGTAACAGCGCCAATCCCAAATTATGATGAATGACCTCACTTGTGCCATGTACCATCATAACTAACAGCAATATTATCATTATCATCATTAGCTTCATCCACTTTTTTATATTCAGTTTTTATAATCTTAGCAACTTCCTGAAAATGTTCTTCTTTTAAAACTTCAGATATTGCATTATCAACTGTCTTAGAGATTGATTGAAAGGTTTTCAGATGGAAAGATCTTGGAATATTCATCCCAGAAAAAAAATTTGTTAATCTAGTATATCCAAAACCATTATTTTGCTTATATTACAGCCAAAGTATTAATGTTAGAAGTTTTATTTACTTTGTTAAAAACCATTGAATATACTTTAGTAATTATTTCATTACGAATTTGGTAAAAGACGTCAAAAATTGTAGCAATACCTTTACTTTTTTCTATTATCTTTAAATTCTACTGATAACATTTTGGGCATGCAAGTGATTTTGTTAAATTTTCAATTGCTTCTAAACTAATAATTCTATATCCACGACATTGATTTTCCAAACATGTGGCTGTCTCCTCGAAATATTGCTGTTTTTGATATGAAGTTGATCCTATATTTTCATCAAAATTATTTGGTGCNATTGCTTCTAAACTAATAATTCTATATCCACGACATTGATTTTCCAAACATGTGGCTGTCTCCTCGAAATATTGCTGTTTTTGATATGAAGTTGATCCTATATTTTCATCAAAATTATTTGGTGCCTTTAATTCTTTGGAAAATGTAGAATTTTCTAAATTCTCTTGACTGTCATTTGCAATGTTCATGTTTTTCTCGAAATGTATTTGTTTTGGCTGTCTTCCTCCACTCTGACCTCACAGTTTTCCTTTCCTTCTCAGTCCAAATATTTGTTTTGTCAATCTTTTGTATGTGGCATAATTATTTAAATAAAAAAAAAAACCTTTAAAAACTAAAAAATGTTGATTTTACACAGATAAATAACTAGTAAATGCTCAAAAAATAACATAACACTCTACTAGTCAATAGTGACAAAACACACTTACAAGCGCATTGGTAATAACCAATAGGCAGTCATGAAAATTTCCTCTGAACAATCACAGCAAGTATAACATTGAAAGTTTAGCCAGAAAAAAAGCTTATAACTATGAACAAGACTGCTCCTTTGTCTAAACGAAGTTGAGAGCAGGAAAGACGAAGAGACAAGCTTTCGAATGATATACAATATAAGCCTTGATTATCCGACCCCCAATTAACTGACCGTCCTAGTCGGCAAATTTCAAATGTCCGCTAGTGATGTGGCGCTACAATATTTGGCTATTTCTTGGCTTCTTTAATATTATTTTTACGTGTTTTAGCTGGCAACACTCATTTGACCATGAAAGGGGGGGTCAGTATTTAAACGAGGCTTAATTTTCTAATTTTTAACGATACAATAGCGACGATTATTATTTTAAAAAGTTTTGTTAGGCTTAACATGGAGGAAAATTTAACGCAAAATAGGTTAATAGCGATATACTAATATACTAATTACATGGGATATAATAATATACTACACTAATAATGGATTTTTTCATACTTTTCGGTTATCTGACTTTTCAATTATCCGACCAACCCCAGTCCCCAATTGAGTCAGATAATCGAGGCTCTACTGTATATCATCTTGAAAGTATCGATTATGACTCGTTCAAAATTTGACTAAAATGGCAGTTTTAGAAAAAATAGATGATGATATATTGTAGTAAATTATTTTATTTTTTATTAATTTTGACCTTATTATTTCGTATTTTTGGAAAGTTTTAGATTTTGACATAGAAAACTACATATAATTGGAAAATTCAGAAATTGATATTTTGGTCGATTTTAGTATAATTTATGCCCATGTGTCCACTTGAAAGGTTTTATAGAAATCAAAATATTTGAAATTCATATTTTAAAAACTAGAATCTTTCTTATGCTAATTCAATAATAAAGTTCTTTTGACTGTTTCCAAGATTCAGAAAATTGGATCATTTGTGTTCTGATTATTTCTTACTCCAACATCTTTCACACTCACACAAGTCTGTTAAAAAAACTTGGTTTGATATTGCAGTTTCTGGCATAACTTATTAATTCTGATTTTAATTTTCTTTTATAATGTTGTTTGAGAATTCTTCTTACTAATGATGATATCAAACTAGATTTTTAAATCTTTAGCATTACAGAAATTTAACAATGTTGACATGCAAGTTTTTTTTTCTGATCTTACACTATCTGAGGCTATTATTTGTAGTCTGATTTCAACATTGTTTAATCCAAAGAAAATATTTTATGATGAATCTTGTATTCATCAATATGCTCTTCTAATACTGTATAAATTCAATAAGTATACATTTATAATAGTTTCTCAATTATAAAACACAATAATATAGTAATTATTTATTTAATAATGAAAATAACACTATTTACAGGATTTATTTTTTACCTACACGTGGAATAATTTTTTACATACACAAGTTGAACAATCAATTGGTCGCATTCTTACAAATAAACCTACCACTGATGAAGAAGGAAACAAAGTTCATCCACTTTTAGATCAGGTAATTACATCTAAAGTAGTAATAAATGTCTGTCAAAAAACTAACAAAATTATTACTTTTTAGGTATTTAATGAATATAGACTAGTCCAAAGAGTTTTAGATGTTTGGGAAGAAAATGAACAAGAACAGTAAGTCTGTTTTATTATAATAATTATTATTATATTTATTATTGAAAATACGGTCAAGAGAATTTAGAAAATTCTACATTTTCCAAAGAATTAAAGGCACCAAATAATTTTGATGAAAATATAGGATCAACTTCATATCAAAAACAGCAATATTTCAAGGAGACAGCCACATGTTTGGAAAATCAATGTCGTGGATATAGAATTATTAGTTTAGAAGCAATTGAAAATTTAACAAAATCACTTGCATGCCCAAAATGTTATCAGTAGAATTTAAAGATAATGTCGACCCCCCCCTATAAGATAGAGATACGTTCCATTCTCTAGGAATCCGCTTTCTTACGAATCCTTCCAATCACAACCCGACACGTGTCAAGTTTACGGACTACGGCTGTTTGAAAGATTTTCTTCCATAAAATTAATCGATTCTAGACTAATCCGACTCAACATTTCCAAAATACGTATATATTTTTTGGGAATAATCCGTATAAACTACGCTATAAACAAAAAATTGTAGGATTACTTACCGAGTGTCACCATTCGACATTGCCATTGCTCAACATTGTTTTCGTCGCGGAACAGCTCAGCAAAGAGCGGCCGATTTCTAACAACTTATTTTTCTGTGAAAACTTCGTAGAACTTCGGAGACATCATTAATATAAATAATTTTAATCGCCGTTGAATAAGAAATGTTTCTTTCACAAGAAATGTATAAAATTACAGTACTGTATTAGACTTACGGTACCTAATTTACATACTGACAGACGATAGTTAGCGTAAAAATCTCCGTAGCGTGGCGCCACGCTAGACGGCGGAAATTATATATTTAATTATAACAAAGTTACAATAAGTTAATATATAATTATATATACAGTACCTAATTTATATATAATTAATATATAATTATATGTACAGTACCTAATTTATATATAATTTATATAATACTGTCCAGACGATAGAAATCTCTCCGTAGCGTGGCGCTACGGACGGCGGGAAAGTAGTTCGGCTTCCCGATGACGTTTGAGGTGTTTATAGGGAACTTTTACTATTTTTTATGGATATCTGTAGCAATTTTTTCGTAGTTTTATAGGAATCGTAACTATAGGGACCGTAATTATAGGGGGGTCGACTGTAATAGAAAAAAGTAAAGGTATTGCTACAATTTTTGACGTCTTTTACCAAATTCGTAATGAAATAATTACTAAAGTAAATTCATCAGTTTTTAACAAATATGATGTGCCCGGCATTCCTTTAGGCAAGTAAGTTAATTCTCATTATAATGGAGAATTAACTTACTTGATGATAACCTTAATTTTAAATTCTAAAATCTAAAAAATCTTGTTTGGAATATTATATTTCAAATTTCTTGAATTTGGAACAAATTCAAATATTTATTCAAATTTGTTTATTTTGGATTTATTGTTTGAGTTACCCAGAGTGGAAATGATTAAAATATTTATTAATTTTCAAAATGTATACTATATGTGTCACTATTTACTTTCCTTCTTTATTATTTACACTTTATACTGACTAAAATTCTCTCCTCCTCTTCCCTCAGAGAGTTGAATTTCCAAAAATCTCGTCTTAATGTGCATTTCATGGCATATCCCTACTAAAACGCAGTCAAAAATGCAAAAAAAAAAAAAAACACATTTAAAGTAGTATAGTAGAAACCAAGTTTTTTCAGGGTAAACCTGCTGCAGGGCTTTCCTCCTGCAAAGGAGAGAGGTAGGGTTAACCCTATCTCTCTCTCTCAGGAGGAAGTTTCAAAAAATCTCTTCTTAGGGTATGTTACAAGAATGTACACTGTGTACCAAATTTCAACTTTCAACTCTTAACTGTTTGGGCTCTGTGCTGCTTATTATTATCATTATCATTAACCCATCTTGATTATATTATAAGATTGGAGTTTATAATACTCAGCATATATACCCAGTGTCTAGTGCTATGCCTGACTATATGGTCAAGGCATATTATAACTTATGAAAAAAATGTTTTGTGTATGTTTGTCTTTAACAATTTCCTCGCTGTGTGATATGATTAGTATGGCAGTCTTTTGTAGTGTGATGTATGTGCTGTTGAAAAGCCTTAATGTTTCAAGATTTATGTATAGTGTACAGAATGTGGTACAGTATGATGTGTATGCTACATTGTATGTGATTTTTGATTTGTTTGTTAATGAATGTGATATCAGGCTTGTTGTGATGGATTGTTTTACCCATGATTATCCATGGTCATAGTATGTATTTTGTGTTGTTTTATATGACTGTCTATGGTGTGTATTTGTAGTATGGTTTTTGGGTGTGCATAAGTTTGTGTTCAAGCTTTTCATGTATTATCTATATATATAACCCATTCAAAGTGTCCGTCTGTCCCGTAACCGTTTGATAACAGACACTAGAGGCGCTCCTATCGTGTGTCATATTTCAAACATTCAAATTAACAATTTTAATTCTTATTTAAATTAACAATATGAATTATTATTATTCATTTGGCCCATAAATTATTATTTGGTCAATATAACAATATAAATAATTCAGTATATTTGTAATAGGAATTTATTATTTCAGGGGCTTATATCTCGCGAAGGGTCGCGAGTAGGGGTATGGTTCCTTTGACTTTATTGTTCGCACAGGGGCTACAGTTTGGGGGGTCGCCACCTCTTCATTCGGAGGGTAACTCTTACCATTGGAACTTTAACAGAGCTGTACAGCATATTGATAGGAACAAAAAAGTCAAAGGAACCGTGCCTCATGGAAATTTGTAAAGAACGCCCACTAGGGGGCGTCCCGGGCTACTAGTATATACTATTTGGCATGCATTTGGAGCAAATCAATTTTTATTGCTCTGCTCCAGCTTTGCTCTGGCATTACAATACCTGCTCCATGTTCCACTCTGGTATAAAATGCTCATTCCATCATTGCTCTACCCTCTAAGAAAAAACATTTTAAAAAAGATATTTAATTTTAAAAATTTATTAAATTTTATTTCATAGTAATAAGTTACAACGTCGTTATTCATTTTATAAACTAAAATAGCAGAAAGTAAATTATCTTTCATTTTTAATCTGTAGTCATTTAATATTAAGTTTAGAGTGGAAAATGATCACTTGGAATTGCTTAAGTAATCATTTTGCATCATGTATATCCACAAGTGACTTGAATGCTTTCTGGGTAATTTGAATCACTTTAAATACCAGTCTAACTTTTTTAGTCTAAAAGTTTGGGTAGTTTAACTGGTTTTCACATACAAAGAATTATGCCATTCTGCAGTATCAATAATATCCAGTCTTTTTATAACAGCTTTATTTTTCTTTTGTAAACTGCGTATTGACTATAAGAAACTGTTTCTATGGGTGTCTTGGCTATCTTTAAATAGCATAACTTTTTCAATTTTGATGTTTCTGTAAGATCAGCTCTTGCAGAAACATCAAAAATCACAAATATCAGGCTAAAATGTGCTGATAAGCAAATGACAAACTGCATCATGTCCTGTTGAAATTCTAAGTTGTCAACCTAGTTCATCTTCAATTTTTTGGAATCCTTTGTTCTCAAGTCTGTAGTAAGGAATGTTGCACTCAAACAAACCATTTCCACAAGATCTTCCTGAAAAGTGTCAGCATCCATGATAACTATAACCCCTGATGAATTGAAATATGAATTAATTTTCAATTAGTTCATATTGGAGTTTTTATTAGAGGATACTATTTTCTTCAGAATCTAAACATTTCTGTCATGGAAATCCTTGCTTTATCTTCTTCTTCGTTCCTTTTAATCAGAGCTTTATACATTTCAGATGATTAGGTTTTATATGCTACCAAAGATAAAATTTTTTTACAATATTTCTTGTTTTGCTAGTGTGAGACCTGAAAGGACCCTGGGTCTAAATTAATAATTTGTTAATTATGTTAAATATTGTCACCAAATATTACTTCATTGTTGGTGAGAAAAATACTGTTTTAACGTGGGAAAAGGCAGACAACAGATGTTATTCCTTTCACAGAAGTTAGAACATCCTCTGACTTTCCCTTATCTGGTTAAAATCCCACTCAGATGGGAAATGGTTACCCCTCATTCATTCCCCCTTCATCCGTTCTCATGAAAGAGTTACTGGCGATGATTGGTCGAAATTCAGAAGATATACAGGGAATTTGTCAGAATTCGGGGAGTTCATCGACAGACGTAGAGAGTGCCCTCCTGATGACCAACGTCCTTAGAGGAGTCACATACAGAATAATTCCAGAGTTAGCACTTAGAAAACATACTTGGATTTTGTGCACATATTGATCTCCCATACGAAGAAGTAAATGAACTTTATCTCCAAAGTGTCCCTTGCATACAGAGAAGAAGGCGAACGACAACTAAACAGGTCGTATGTTTTATAACGATTTTGTGAGCTCTCTCTCAATCGCGCATCAGTATAGTATAAGTCTATGCCTATATTGTGTATCTTAATTGTCGTATTATTATCCCTTGTTCATCGATATTTGTATTAGTTTTACTTATAGAATCATTAAATTTACTTTTGTTTGTTTTATATAAGATATGGCTCTTAATTTGAATCGTAATAAGATCTCTTACGCGTGTTAATCCGCGTATAATAAGATTAACTGGTGTCGGGACCCTGACATTTGGGATAAAGACCTCAGTCTTGAATCCCTTTTTCCCTAAATATTACCGCCCTCCCGGTCAAACGAATCTTGACATAAGATCGGATCTCTCGATCCGAAACTCGGAGAACTATTCTCACAGAATAGTGCCGATTAAGTGTTACAAGAGTATACTTACTTTGTAACCCCGGCTGATCTCACACTAGTCATGAAGTTAAATTTGCATTGTTTGAGTTCATCATTCACTTCCTTATTCACCTTGCATGTTGCTGACTTTTTATTGTTATTTTCAGATTCAAAGATGAAAATATTATTTAAATTCTCTTTTGTAAATCAGCTAATTGTCATGGAGAGCAGTTTTAATTTTTCCTTTGTTGATGATAATGCCATAATT